AGTCATATATATTGATACATAAAGATTAAGTTAGATGAGATTATCTGAACACTTGATGATGTATAGCAAGTTCCAATTTTGAGAAGAAATATGATTTTTCTCGGTACTTTGGATGCAAAAATGTATAAATACTCTAATAAATGTAGAGTTATGAAAATTTTATAATAGCTTTCTCATTGTGACGAAAGGGTAGAGAAAGTTTGTAAAGTTTTGTATTATGTAAGGTTTAACTTTTTTATGCGATGAAACTATGGATTTTTCATTCATGTCGAATGAAACTGGTGAAAATATCTTGATTAAATCAAGTAAAAGAATATTCCGTGTAAAACAAGATAATTGTATGGATTATGATCCTAGGTTACTTCATACATCCAAATTTGAGCAAAGTTTGGATCTGATTGGCATTCGTTATTGATTAATACTCTTTAAGGGTTTTTACAGAAAAGACGAATATGTTTTCAAGATCGATTGTTGATTAATACTTTTTAAGGGGTTTCATAGAAAAGATGAAGAATATGTTCTCAAGATGGAGAATTTTATTCATTGAGGCGAAGAATTGATTTTCATTGAGTTTGGACTTTTCATCGAATCTGGATTGTTTTTTATCTTGAACATCTTGCCCATTTCAGACATGTTAAGGCAGAGATTGTTGGAATTTTGTGACTCAAATTCTATTTTAAAAAAATATGTAATCTCCGTGATACAATTTGCCAGGTAAATAAATAAAATAGAGAAATCTAGTTCCATTAGTCAACCTGTTTGGAATCTATACAAGTCTATATACTTATACTATTATACGTTAATTAAGAATAGAAACTTCGTTTCAGTAGATTATGTGTTTAGAGATGATAATTTAACCCAAAATCGACAGATTTTTGACTTGATTCGACTTAATAGGGTCGGATTTTTAAAAATTTGGGTCTAGGTCAAGTTATGTACAAGTGACGGGTGGAAAAACTCCGACCCGGCCCGACCTGGTCCAAGGGTAATATTGTAATTTCTTCAAATAAATTATTGATAATTGCTATAATGCCTTCTCTCTATTGTTCTTTTAATTAAGTTCTTATTTTGTACCGGGTTAAGTTGGGTCGAATCAGATTTATACTCTAAAAATTCGAGTTGGATCGAAGGTGAAGGATATATATTTTTTGGGTTGGGTTGGGACGAGTGATAGTTATATTTTTTGAGTCGGGTCTAGTTCGGATAGAGTATATATATTTTTGATCGGGTCGGGTTAACAAAAACTCCATCCAACCCGATCCATTATCATCCATATTCATGTTACACAAGTTTTCTTTATAATTAAATAATTATATCTATAAATAGATATTATGGATTATGGTTAGAAGTCACGTTAATTTTTACAAATCCTCTTGTATTTTTTTATTTTCTACAGCAGTGAAAAAAATTCTTATGTTCATGGTTTTTACCGTTTAAGTCTTTTTACGTAAAATATTAGTATATTTTTATTTTATGATCACTTTTATTTTGGGATCACTTTCTACTAAGGGAGGATGCACTAAGCCCTATAGGGATTAAGTACATCTCATTATTTTTAAAAAAAAGGTAAAATTTAATTTAATATGTTAAGGAAAAAAAAAGAAAAATCTTGCATACCCATTATTTATAAGAAAAGAATATTAAAATTGTGAACTTAATTGTTAAATTTTTTGGGTCCGAGATTGCTTTCTACTTGTTATCATCATCATATATTACAATATTATTATTTAAATATTTTATTTAAATTATTTAATTATGAAGATTGTGTTTGTAAAATTGCAAATCGATTTGACACTATTTTTCTTATCAATACTAGATGTTATCTTTGACAATAGGTTAAATTTTTAATAAAATAAATAGATGAACAATTTTAATTTATTAAAAAAAGTATATGCATGATCAGCTGCAATTTTAATTAAATAAGATATGACTTTTAATAGATGTTATCTTTGACATGAAAATGTCAAAAGCTCGAGTAAGAATAAATAGAATGGGTATTGTGTTTACATCTGCAGCTGTCATTTTTGAATATATGTGACACAAATAAGAATATATGTCCATTTTAAATAGATACTACATGATTTTGATAAATAAATCACAATTGGATTAAAGTGTATTAAAATTTGTTGTATTATTATTGTCAAAAAAGTTGTTGCACTATATTTAGAATTTTATTTCAATTTATCTATTATATAAAAAGACATTTTAGTCTATTATACTTAAAATTTTATTTATTTTTTATATTTTTACTATAAAAAGGGATAGTTTAGTCTTATAAATTTGAAAAATGAATATTTTAATATAAGATTTTAAGGCAAAAGGGTAATTTTTGTCCTTGTAGTAGACACAATTTATCACTTTCATCCCTACCGCATTTTTGCATCAATTTAGCACTCGAAGTTGTTTAATTGCATCATTCTATATCCTACCCATTACTTAAAACCCTAAATTCTAAATCTAAACCCTAACCCTAATCTCATTACCCTAAACCTTAAACCCTAAACACTAACTTATGATTTATAATTTAGTGTTTTAAGTTAAGAAAAATATATAGAATGATGCAATTAAATAATTTTGAGGCTAAATTGATATGAAAATATTATAGGGGCGAAGATGATAAATTGAGTATACTACATATGCAAAGGTGACACTCAAGCCAAATTTTAAAGTTATAGTTAGTTGAATATTTTAGTTTAAACATTTTTTTTAAAATTCTTTTTTATTTTAAAGTTGAACACCTTTGAAGAGAGGGAGAGTAATTTATTTAATATATGTTTTGAAAGTGAGTAAATAAAAATGATCTATGACAGTGTTGATCTTTTCTATCAGAACATAAGACATGTCTAATTATAATTAGATTAAATCATATAAAAACATATACACATAATTTATAATATTGTTGATAATTTTGAAAATTTGAATTTTTTTATTGAAATTTTAAATATTTTTATGATTCCTATATTATATTTTTTTAGTTAAAGCCTTGCTCTCACTCCGAATTTAAAAAATTTAAATTTTGGTATATTTTTTAATTAAAGATTTTAAATAATATTTTATATTTTAATTTGTAATTATAATATTATTATAAGTGAAGACAACAAATTTGAAGTTAGAATATGAATTAATTTTACATTTAGATTTCATATGTGTTTGCAAAATTATATTTTTATCGAGAGAGATTAATTTGTTTAAATTTGAAATTAAGAAAGAATTAAAAAGTGTTTAAATTAAAATATTTAACCAACTAACAGTAAACTTCAGCTTTTTGGATTAAAGTTACTTTTCAAATGTACTTGGATTAAGATGATATTTTTTTTCTTTCTAAAAAGGAGATTAAATATTTTTTTTGATAAATTTTAAATATAATCTTAATTCTACTTAGAGGAGAGAGAAAAAGAGATTTTAAGAAAAAGAAAGGAGAGTGTTCCTAGTGAATCTAGAACTTATGACATAAAAAAATAAGAAGGAACAAAGATGAACAACTTGATTAATCAGCCAAATGTTGCTCCAATGAACTTTTAAATATACCAAGGAGACTAAAATGATTTCTTTTATAATTGAAGACTATATCACTAAACTAAACTTTTAAAATTAATAAAGAACTATTAATAGGTTTTAATCTCTAAATTATTATTTAATAAAAAACATTTATTATTTATACGTAAAAATTAAAATATTAAAATTAAAAACTCAGAATCCACAATATGCTCCAAGAGTCATCATCTCATCCATTAAGTACAACTGCAATTATATCAAATGTTAAACCATACATAGTGTCTTACATACACTACACGTAGTAAATGGGCATAAATTTGAAACTAAAATATATTAATAATGGTGCCGGCCATTCTTCTTTGACCAATATGACGTTACCATTACCTCAATTACACGTCTGGATTAAATCAGACGGCTCCGCACAAATGAGGGAGGACATATCTAAATTAATTATTTAAGATTAATTCGATTAAAGTTCGATTAATTTTTGGATTGAATAGATTCAACTTAAACTCAAATTCGATTAAATTTTTAAATTAAATTATTAATAATATTAACATTTATATGTTGTTTTTATTTTAAAGATACAATATAAGACTTTTATAAATGTAAGGTTTAGGGTTGATCTGTTTGAATTTCAACCGAGCTAAGTCTGAAAATATTTCAAGTTCAAATTTCTTCTAGCTCAGGTAGAGCTTCAATTTTTTATTTTTAGTTGAGTTTAAAAATTATAATCTTGTGAGTTTTTGAGTCGAGCCTAAGTCAATATTTTATTTTTTGAGTTCGAGTTAAACTTAATAAATTTAAATTCGTGAATTTTTGAGTTGATTCAAGTTTAATTTTATTATTTTTGAGTCGAGTCTTTAGCTTGACCAAGGACAAACTTCTAAAATAAGAAGGTTAACTAATTTTTTAAAGGAGATAAAATAAATAATCAATATAAAATACAGAAAAATATTTAGAATATATGATAATTTAATTTTTTTTTTTTAAAAAACAGGGTGGTCGACGGTCCCTCGGTACATCCCTTCGTCCCTCACCATCTATAAAAGAACACTTACTCACAGGCTTCCAACGCCTCTCACGTTCTTCAACAGACGGCACTTGAGATCCGCAAACAATGGCGTTTTGGGGCATTTTCATTTGTTCCTTACTGCTATCTTCTTTAACCATGGCTTCGGCTTCCTTTTACAGGCATAGTAAAAGGCCAACTCAAACGTTTACTCAAGAAAGGTTCATCAGTGCTTTAATGGCAACTCCCCGTTTGCCATACCCCTCTCCACTGCCTGTTTCACCCCCAGAAACGCCTCCTTTTCCTCGGGGCTACAATCGACAGCTCAAAACCTCCGGTACTTAGTGCCGTCGATGCCGAAACCCGAGTTTATCATCACTCCATTGCATGAATCCCATGTCCAAGCCGCTGTGATTTGTGCCAAGAGGCTCAATATTCACCTCAGAGTCCGCAGTGGAGGCCATGATTACGAAGGACTCTCTTTCGTTTCCCAAATCGAATCCCCTTCATTCTCGTCGACCTCTCAAAATTCCGGTCGGTCCAAGTTGACATCCCAGGCAACAGTGCTTGGGTTGAAGCAGGTGCCACCATCGGCGAAGTTTATTATAGAATTGCTGAGAAAAGTAACATCCATGGCTTCCCTGCAGGCCTTTGCACTAGCCTTGGCATTGGTGGGCACATCACAGGTGGTGCATATGGTTCGATGATGAGGAAATATGGCCTCGGTGTCGATAATGTCATCGATGCTCGAATCGTCAATGTGAATGGAAGAGTTCTCGACCGAGCAGCCATGGGAGAAGATCTTTTCTGGGCAATTAGAGGTGGCGGAGGTGCAAGCTTTGGCATCATCGTTCAATGGAAGATAAAGCTTGTTCCGGTCCCGGCTACCGTCACTGTTTTCACCGTGACCAAATCTCTAGAACAAGATGCAACAAAGATCCTTTCTAAATGGCAAACTGTTGCGGACAATCTCGACCACGATCTTTTCATTAGAGTCATAATTCAAGTAGCAAACTCCGGAAGAAACAACTCCAAAACCGTGACAACGTCGTACAGTGCACTGTTTCTCGGTGATGCCGAAAGACTCCTCCGAGTAATGCAGCAGAGCTTCCCCAAACTCGGTTTAACACAGAAAGATAGTACCGAAACCACCTGGATCAAATCTTTGCTTTACATTGCGGGCTACTCGAGCAACACTCCTCCAGAGGTTCTTCTCCAGGGGAAGTCAACGTTCAAGAACTATTTTAAAGCCAAATCAGACTTCGTTGAACAAGCCATACCCGAAACAACACTAGAAGGTCTCTGGAAAAGACTGCTCGAAGAAGACAGTCCATTGATGATATGGAATCCATACGGCGGAATGATGGCGAGGATTTCGGAATCTGAAACCCCTTTCCCGCATCGACAACAGACCAAATTCAAGATACAGTATGTGACCACTTGGCAAGATGGCGACAACAACGTGTCGAAGCATATCGATTGGATCAGGAGGCTGTACAATTACATGACCCCGTACGTTTCGATGTTTCCCCGAGGTGCATATGTGAATTACCGGGACCTCGATTTGGGGATGAACAAGAACATCAACACGAGCTTCATCGAGGCTAGCCGTTGGGGAGTCAGTTACTTCAAGGATAACTTCATGAGATTGGTGAAAGTGAAAACCAGAGTTGATCCCAACAACTTCTTCAGGCATGAGCAGAGCATTTCATCTCTTCAGGGTCAAGCTAGATTTTAGTATGAATAATGCACTTCCCTTTTGTCCTTAATTTGTAGCCTAATGTTGCTTTTATCTCGAGAAAAGAAATAAAGATTCTTCACTATTACTATATATAATATGTTCAGGGTTTTTGTATCCATATTAGATTTGTTTGTGTTTGGACTCAACTTTTGTTTTTTGGATGTGCAATCCGTTAAAATCATTGAATGACATGATGATGGATGGTTGCAGTTTATAATAAATTGTCATTTTTGTATTTGTGTTAAAGGTTTTTTTTTATAAAATTTGATGAGATTTGTAAGTCAAATAAATTTAATAGTAAAATTGATTGATATAAGATGATTTAAATATAATATGGATATGAACGAACAAATCAACCTCCATGATTAAAGGGACGGTTGTCACATTATCGATTAAATATATGTAAAAATATCATGTTACTAATATGAATTGATCATTAGTCAACTAACAATTTCCGTCCAACATGATATGTTTTGATAAAAAATTGAAACGTACATAGGTAAAATGCTCTAAAATAAAGAATATTGACAAAATGATCATTTATGTAAATATTAAGGTGTATTTTGTTATTATGCCTTTTCATTGATATGTCAAATTATTAATAGGATAGGAGTTAATATCCAAATTATCAATTTGTGATTAATCCATGATAAAAAAAACCATAATCTAACTTTCAATAGTTGAGTAGATCAAAATAATAAAAAATAAAACAAAAATGATCAAAATGATAGTTTATCCAAAAAAGTATTTTCAATTCAATCAGTAATGCTATGAAAGTTGTTTGATGATGTGATTGTTGATTATGCAAAGAATCACATATTAATTGAGAGAAAGACTTCAAAAAGGGTTTATATAGTCTTACCTCCTTAATTGAATAGTGACGTTAAAGCCTAACACACGTGCACCGTCGCCACACGCCTACCCTGGTTCATGAATATATTCGTGTCTACACCGTGTATCATTTTGAAAAAAATAAATTGTATACATTTTCTATGAATTTTGTGAGTAAACTATAAGATTGGTTACTTTCATTTAAATTTTATATATTTTTCATTGAATTCAAAAAAATATAATATTTGATCAGTTTTATTTTATTTTATTAAAATATGATTATATTTATTTTTATATAATTAAGATGTAGTTATTCGAATTATCGATATAGCAGAAAAAGAGGCGACAATATCTGAATTATATTGATAAAACATGTAATATACCAAAGAATTGGGCTAAGCATTTATACAGAGGGAGGAAGAGAAGGCATTGCCAAGGACACTAACAACTCCTAACAACCTTAATAGAAAGCCTATCGTCTTCCAAAGCTTCACCAGTGCAGTAGAAAAATCTTACAACTAATTGCACTTGGTGAATGTAACATCCTTTTCCCGTATCCGACTCGAATACAAGTAAGATATGTTACATCAATTATATAACACACTTGCTATTTGAAAACCGGTAAAAATTTTGTTTCTTTAAACTAAAACCATTTAACTATTATCGATAAAATCAATTAAACACGTAAAACCAAAATAAATTATTTTATCCTTTGATTCAAGTTCGATTTTAGGCAGCAACTAGACAATTCAATATTGTATCGTATCATAATCAAAACTGCCTAAAAACTGTCTAATTTAAAAATCATTTCAATAGCAAATAAAATATGATTTAATAAATACTACGTATACAAAATACTATTATTATCTAATAATACCCATTTTAAGTCGACATTATTTTTACACTACAAACCAATTTAAAACTATTATATAAAACAACTAAAATGTCTATAATATACATGCCAACTAATAAAGTTATAAACATTACATATGCCATTCTAATACTTGAAAATAGACCTCGATCGGTGATGCCGCATATGCTCCTTAATCTGCTCTCTTTTCTTAACCTATGTGTGAAACCATCACATGCTAAGTATACACTTAGTGAGACAATCATAATAATAATTAATGCAATCCAACATATAAATATAAATTAATAACATTGCTCAATGCATTATGATCACTTTACCTGTAATTGCAATCATGTTACCATATATTAACATGATATAACCATATATAAATTTTCTTACCAATATACTTGCCATTCATTCCATAAGCTCATAAGCTTGTTCATCAGTTTATCATTTATTAACTAGTAAACCATAACCCAAATATAAACCTACGAGGACCCTGGGTATACATATTAGGTCGTGTCCATCATAATACACATAAGGTTGTTCCCACCATATGCAATAAGTGTCCTTTATATACATGATAACTCCGTAAAAGACATTGTTCTACGTTTTTTTACTTAAATTATTGTTTGTCTAAAAGCCATTTATTATAGCATTTTAGTTGCATTTAGGACATCTTTGCATGTGGTGGATAAATTTTGCCAAGGTAAACTTTATTTGGTATTAACCGATGCTTCTAAGGAGGAAGGTTGTTTTCTGGTTATGTTGATGTAAGAAATGACGAAGAAAGAATTCATTTGCCGAGACAAATTAATTTGCTAGGGAGTATAGCATAAGAAGAAGACAGTGAGGAACATATTTTCTTGTCTAGGCGAGAGATATCTTGCAAGTCTGACGCAGCTCAACGACACTTGCCCAGCTTCAACCTCACGTGCAATCATGCCCTTATTAAGTTAATTGAGACCGCTGCCAGCTGCTATATCATTCATAAAATGGGTATGACATTAAGGGTATTTAGGGAATTTCCAAGGACACTAAACCCTAAAAATTCCCACTTTAAATACCCCATTATAATTCTTCATGGGAGATCGAGAATAAGACAGAAAAATACAACTGATGCTTGGAGTAGGTGGTTGCAACACTCACTTTCACACCGTCCCCTACTTGACCGTCCTTGGTGCCCTCTATAGCTGGACTTCATTGGAGTGGTGGCCAGGCCTCAAGAGAGGCTGGTCGCCAGAGCAGGCGTGGTGGTGGTCAGAATGTCATAGCAAAGCTCTGATATTGGGAGTTTTCTTCCTTTGTTTTTCATTTCCATATAGTTTTAAGGGATGTACTTAAAGAATGATTTTTGGATGATATTGGCCACACTATAATTGTTTTATTTAGTGTTGGATGAAACTTGAATGATACTTTGCTTAGTTGTTAATGAAATGATGCGGTTTTTGTTTATACCATGTGTTGTTTTGTTCATTGTTTCAATATTTTACCTTGAAACTGTAAGAGCCTTCTAGAGATTACCTGGTGCCACGACAAAACATTCCAAGTCTTTGTAAGAGGCTTCGAGAGATCGCCAATTTTCTAGGAGTAGATGACTAATATCGAGAGAGTTAGGGTAGATCTATGTGAACAAGGGAACTAATCCAGTATGGTGAGGTTCTAACATGCCTTAGAGATAAGGAGAGGATTTAATTCGACTAAAAAGGGTACATACTTGAGTAAAATGGGCCAAAGACTATAGTTTACGCTGAGGGGTATTGCCACAACAACATTTTGACAAACTAAGGGTCTTAGTTCACACCGACTAGTTTTGCCGTAGCAAAAAACCTAAACCACTCTAGTAAATCCTGTTGGGCAACATAAGAATATCATTCTGAATCATCATAACCATAGAATAATTTCTCACTGTAGTAAGTCCAACCCAAACGCTCCGTTAGAAGTCTGATTGTGTGAGGTTTTTCTGAATATTTGACACTCGAACATTTTTATTGCCTTGACTACTTTTATTTGTTTACTTTTTCGTACTTTTATTGCCTCGACCAAACTTTTCTGCTCACTGTACTTTACAATTTTTCCTGCCTTGAGAATAGTTTTCCATCTGTTCATACACTTTGTTATTATTTGCTTCTTAGACAAGAATCATAGGACTAGTTAGTGACACCTAGTTCTAGTTGTTACAAATATAAAAAAATTCCCTTCAATCCTTGTGGCGACGATAACTCAATTACTACTATATTACTTCCATTTATTGTGTATATTTGCATATATTTACGTAACACAACACACACATTTACACGTGATCAAGTTTTTTGACGCCGTTGCTGGGGATTGGCAACTGGAGGAATTTTGATAATTTTTCCATATGAACTTTTATTTTATTGTCACATTTTCTTTATTTTAGTTTTTCTTGTTTGTTTTTTTATTTTCCTTTGTAGGTTTTTGTCGTTGCATGACTAGGAGATCTGCTGACGAACCATTAATACCTTTCGACCCTGAGATTGAGCAGTCATTCAGACAAAGGCGACGTGGTCAGCGTGCCAGAGACTATCTGAATCGACTAGAGTTTCAAGATTATAACACTATAGAAGATCAGACAGATCCCGTGTCGTAGCAAATAATATTCCCCAAAATGCTACAAGACCACGAGCTATACGAGATCACTTAAATCCTATTCTCGTTGATCTTAACCATGGAATCGTGGAACCAGAAGTACAAGCAGCCCACTTTGAACTCAAACCGGTGGTGTTCAACATGCTCAATTCTATCGGTCAGTTGATGGCTTTCCCAATGAAGATGATAGACAACATGTGCGTGTTTTCCTTGAAGTACGTGACTCGTTTAGGCAATAAAGAGTCCAAGAGTACATGCTGAAACTAAAATTAGCCCCCTACTCTTTACGTGACCGAGCAAGAGCTTGGTTGAGTTAAGTCCCATCCGGCTCAATGAAATCTTGGGCTGACTTATGCAAAAATTTTCTGATTCGATATAACTCGCCCAATACGCACACCCAGCTCCACGATGACATTGCAAGTTTTTGCCATGGCGATGACGAATCTATGTATTAGTGTTGGGACAGATATAAAAGGTAGCTTCAAAACTGCACAAACCATGGATTCCACGACTGGACTCAAGTCGTCATGTTCTATAATGATGTCAATGCACCTACTCGTATGATGTTGGATGCTTTGCCGAATGTCAATTTGCTTGACAAATCACCCGAGGAAGCCTTTTATATTCTCAATCAGATAGCCAAAAAATGACTATCAATTCCCATCTACAAGGCTTGGAACCGATAAGAAAATATCTGGGGCATATGAACTTGACGGTAAGGATTCAGTTTTTGCCCAACTTTCTACCATAACTAACATGCTAAAAATTTTGTAG